TTTAATCAATGGTTTAAAGTTACGCTAATTTTCACCTAAATTTCCATCTCTGACTATTTGAAGGATCCCATTCCTGATGCCAAATGTTGGATATTGGACAAAAATGACGATGTAGTTTCATTTAAAATTGGGGTTAAAGAATCACTTCTGAAGGGCCTGCTAGATCCAATCTTCTGGCCTGTAGGCATTGCTGTCAAGGAGTTCATCCTCGTCGTATGGGGGCAAAACCCTCCACAGCAAATTTTCAACCAGTCTCATTAGATTGTGCTACCCGAGATGCTATCTTTCTGTACCAAAATGTGAGAGGCCTAAAAACTAAACTCAAAGATGTTTTCTGTGCTGAATTTCTTGACTCACATTACACGGTTTATCGCTGTGATAGGAGCAGTCTAAACAGTCCAAAAGCCGTGGACGTAGGGTGCTTCTGGCAATAAATAATTACTTTAAATCTCATCGTCTGTCAAGTGGTGAAGCATCGGTGGAGGAAACATGGGTGTCAGTGACGCTGGGTGACTTGGTCTTCTGTATTGGCTGTGTCTACATTCCACCTACCATGGATGTTTCGTATTATGAAAACCACTTGAAATTAGTTGCGAGTGTCTGTTTGGTAATGTGCTTGTTCTTGGAGATTCAAATCATTCTCATAACGTGGTCCACTAGTGAGGATCTTTCTGGTTTATTACCTGGAAATGTAAGGTCAACTAAGGAAATATTGTTAATGTGATGGTACTGCATCTCATTGTCTCAATACAATGGAGTGACTAACGATCATGGTTCAATCCTGGATTTATGCTATGCCAACTTTGAGCTTATTTCAATTGTAATATCTGACGGTCTGGTGGAATGTGATCAGCATCACCTAGCTCTGGAGTTTTCCATACCTGTTGATAAAGCCAAACAGATCCATTATGACTAAGGATCTAAACGAAACTGTTAATAACTTTTATTTTCAACCACATATGTAATGTTGACATTGCAGGTTTTTCAAAATCTTGAAAGTGTCACATTTCTGGACTTTGACATTTATCGGGACGGTAATGCATATGCCTGCCTAGGACGGAAAAGCATTTTCCGTCCGGGACGGCAAATGCTTTTCCGTCCCCATTTCCCTGCTCGTTCCAAATTGATAATTTTCATACAGCTCTCACATATAATAATAAAACCACATGTATTACATGGAACTAATTAAATCTATTCACTTATTTACATTAATTGTTAAATTAGCATTGTTGTTTATAATGGAAATCTTGAGACCATCCTGTTGGAATTGTGTTTCGTTTGGAACTATTATCTCTTGCGCTTGCGGATGAGTTTCCGCATGTGATGTACTTGTGGATGCACTGGACAACTGAATACCTTTGGAAGTAGAGGATAGCATCAGAGCAGTCTTACTTTTGTTCTCCAAAGATGCCTCTATGTAGCCTTCAGCAACCGTGCTCGATTTCCACCCTCCCAGTCTTTTGAGTTGCAATAGATCGGCCCCGTTGTCAACCAATAAGGTTGCGGAAGTACGACGAAAAGCATGCCCTGTAAAAGTTTCAATTTTTGGAAGCTTCAAAAAAGCAGCTATTTTATGTGGAAATTTTGAGATTGAATGATAGCCAATTGCTTGGTTATGTAATTTCCCATTTCGCCATTGAACAAATAACCTGTCATTTTTCAAATTTTTCCGCAAAGTGAGGTATTTGTGGAAAATAGCAACCCAATCTGGATCGCTTATGATAAACGATCGACTTGTGTAAGTTTTTGTGTGTGGAATTTCTATAGCGATCTTTCCTTCCAAAACGTTGACGTGCTCCATTTTCATCTTGACTAGTTCATCGCTCCTACATGCACCCGACACACCAACAATTAGCGCTACCTGAAACCAGATAAAAATAAAATGGGTAACCTAGCTATAGCATACAGAAAATCATTTTGATTTTCGCATTTTTATCTTCTTTGTATATTTTTTGAAAACCTACCTTGATGCTAATGAATTCTTCAGCTGCCTTCGTGAGGAACTCGTTAATGTTTTCTCTGGAAAAAACGCTCGACTTTTTCGGCTGAAAGCCCAGATTTTGCCGCTTCAAAAAAGCTATAAGTTTTGCGTAATTGGAGATATCAACTTTCTCTTTCAATTTAATCATGGTTTTCAACATACTGTAAGTCGACCATAAAGTCGAAGGCTTCTTTTCCTTAGATAATTCGCCAAAATACGCCAACAAAACGGTCTCCGAGGCAGTATTTCTCGATCCTTTCTGGCTACACCATGCTTCGAATATTTGAAAAGCCTTTTCGTACCGAAATTTGCGTTTTGCTGGAAGCAAACTCTCTCCAATCCTGTCTGCTGCTTCTTTTAATTCAGGTGGGGTACAATCCATCGCTTCATCTTCACTTTCCGAAATCATTTCTTTGGGGAGAACGGGGAGAAATCTAGTGAAAATCTATTATTTCCGCAAAAATACTGAGCGAAAACTACCGTCGTTAAGGCGTTGTTGATCTTATCTATGGTTGTTGATTTTGCGGTTTCCTGTGGTTTCGTCTTTTGTTTTGGCCTTTACAGGGCCTTTGAGATCGTCAAAATTGATGACATTGACAAAAAAAGTGAAATATTTTTTTCTAAGGCCAGTTTTACACTATATGAAAATTTCGTATAACAGAATCTTTAGTTTTTGCATCAGAAAATTAAGGGTTGAAAATAAAAAAGTATACAAACCTCGACGGAAAACTTCATTTCTGTCTCGAGGTTGAGTTTATCTCGACGCTTCGCGTCTCGATAAACTATAATAACCTCTCGACCAGCAATGAAGTATTTTCCGTCTCGGATTGTAATATACTATTACTCGGTGCTGTTCGACTGCTTTAATATGTTTGTTCCCACAAAGAGACGTTGTTACAGCGATAAATTTCCTACCTGGTTTTCTTACGAACTAAAAAACTTGATTTTTCAAAAAAAAATTGCTCACAAACAATACAAGCAGTCGAATAGTGAAGTGGATTATTTTGCATTTAATACACTTCGAAGGGATTGTGAAAATCTCACCAAGGAGTGCTACAAATTATACATAAGTGGTACGTACTGAAAGGGCCATAGGCACTAATGTGAAAGTCTAATGGAATTTTGTTCATTCGCAATCCAATCAGGGTACTATTATTCCTAAGGAAATGTTTCTGGCGACAGAAATAGCGTCCAAGGGTGTAGACATAGCTAATCTTTTTGGTGTTTATTTTTTCTCTTTCAATAGGTCTTTTTCTACAGAAATCACAAACCAGTCAGAGCATTTTTGATTGGTCCAAATCGCCAACAACCAGTTTCCTGACTATTGTCAGCCAATGAAAATCGCTCTGACTGGTTTGTGATTTCTGTGGAAACAGACCTTATAACCCCCAGAGAAATTCCAACTTCCAAGAACTTTTGCTGATCGATTTGAGAATGTTTCGAGCTTTTTCATAAACCCAACCGATATTGAGAGGGCTTTAAAGCAAGTGGACATCAACGAGTCTGCAGGACCTGATGGTATTCCTAACAAATTACTAAAATCTTGTTCTAACACTTTGTATCTCCCCCTATTTATTATTTTTGACAAATCCTTAAACTCTGGAATTTTTCCAGAAATGTGGAAGCTCTTTTATGTTTATCCTATTCACAAGTCAGGCAGCAAGCATGACCATGATGTAACAAATTACAGACTTATTAGCATCCTGTCTGCAATTCCTAAATTATTTGAGCAGTGCGTTGAAAAAATTCTTTCAAAAATATTTCATCAGATTGTGATCAGTCAACAGTATGGGTTTACAGCTAGTAGATCCGTTGATACGGACCTGTTTCTCTTTAAAAATTTCATCAATTCATCATTTGATAACAATGCAGAAACTCATGCAATATATACTGACTTCAGTAAAGCCTTTGATAAGGTAAACCATAACATCCTTCTTTCAAAGCTCTCAAGTTATGGCGTTTCTGGACCCTTACTTTCATGGATGAAATCTTACCTTACTAACAGAATGCAACAAGTCAAGATCGATGGCTATCTTTTTTCTTTTTTCCATGCATCCTCTGGGGTACCCCAAGGCTCTCACTTGTGCCCCCTTCTATCCACCCTATTTATCAATGATTTAGGATCGTTGCTCTCCTCGAATTTTTTACTCTTCGCTGATGACTTGAAGTTGTATGCTCAGGTGTCGTCAGTTCAAGACATACTTATTCTGCAAAACGATCTTAACATTGTTTATGATTGGTGTCAGTAGAATATGACATGTTCCTCAACATTGATAAGTGTTGTTGTATGAGATTCAGTAGACTCACCTGTAAGGTTCCCTTTCAGTATTGCTTAGGTGATGTTCGCTTGTCTGAAGTTTCTGTCATCAAAGATCTTGGTGTCTATCCTAGATACTAGGTTCCCCAAGCATTTTGAAGTGGTAATTGACAGGGCTAATAGAATGTTGGGTTTTATTAAGAGAGCTACTAGGGACTTTACATTTATACGCCCCATCAAAATTCTTAACACATCATTGCTCAGATCCGTTCTTGAATTTTCTCGCAAAGTTTGGTCACCTTACTATCCGATCCACATCAATGGGCTCGAGAGTGTTCAACACAAATTTATCAAGTTTGCTAGGTACAAACTGTCTTTGGATGGTGTGATTCTCAGCGTTGACCAGACTATGACTTACTTAGATTTACTCTTGTTCGCAGAAGGGAATACTTTGATGTCTGTTTTGCTTTTAATATCCTCAACCACTACATAAAAAGCCACGAATGTCTTGGATGCTTTTATCTACACACTCAAAGTTATCGGACACGAAGTAAATCTTTACTGCACATTCCTTACTGTTGTACTTGGTACTTACTATTCAGTTTGTTAATAGAATATCTGCCAATGTAAATAATTCTATGAGAGTCTTGACTTTTTTAGTTTATCTCAGAATAAATTTAGATTTTAGCTTTATACCACTTCAAATGTATGTATTTTTTTATACGTAAATAAATAAATAAATAAAAAGTAATTTGTCTTTAGGAATGAAGGTAGAGAGCTTTTGATGCGCATGCTGGAAGTTTTTGTCTTGAAATTCAAGTCCATAGCAAAAATTCAGTTGCCGATTCTTATTAGTCGTTGTGAGCAAAAGAAGCAGGAATTGCCAATTCTAAGTAGTTCTCAGGGAACTGGAGAAGAGGTAAGATCTTTTGTTTCCCATATACAAACAAAACTTAAGATAGGGCGCAGGTACCATCAACATTGTTTCAGAGTTATTCAATATTTTCAATGGAAAAAGTGGTGGTTTTATAATTAATAAATATATAAATTTTCATAGATTAAAACTGAGCCGACAGAGTCCCTAGACAGTCTAAATGCTACTCAATCATCTGAAAAAGAACCAAAATCGAGATTTGGCGCTCAACCAGCTAATAATTACAACGTTGCCGATTATAGGAGTTTAGTTAAAACTTTGGCAAGAAAATGTTTACCAAAAAAAAAACTATCAATATTAACTTTAATTTTTTTTAGGTCTGTGGTGTTAAAACAATCACTTGGGTTTGTTCGAGCCGCAAAACAACTACAGGTCAAACTTTGGGTCAGGCTAAACATTTTCAACCACATGAAACATTAATTTTTGTCAGATTAGTGAAGTGGGCTTTAAAGGCTTTGGATATTTATACTTTGAATATTGGGCCTCAACCTGGAGCACCCTTACCGAAGATAATGCAAACAGTTAAAACGAAAGAAGAAAAAGAAGTCTTGGAGCATTTCAGCGGCGTATTTTCCATGATGAATTCCCAAACTTTCTATGAAATATTTTCCACTACAATCGAATATTTAGTAGAAAGAGTTTACAAGGTAAATTCAAACTGCACAACAAAAAATCGTCGATTTTATTTATGTAAATTCTAGAATCCCACTCTTCAAACGGTTCCCAACACGTTGCTGGCAAACCCAGCTACTAGTCCCATATTTGCCACCATTCTAGTAGAATATCTGCTAGAACGGATGGAGGAAATGGGATCCAACTTGGAACGAAGCCAGCTATATTTGAAATTATTTAAATTGGTGTTTGGCAGCGTGTCACTATTTCCTCAAGAAAATGAGAATATGCTCAGGCCGTATTTACATCAAATTGTCAATAGGTAAGGAACTTTTCTTTTATTGCCAATAATAACTTTTTTTTGGCGTTTGGTGAATGTGTTTTACCCAATTTTACCTAACTCTTTTTGTTACAGATCAATGGAACTAGCAATGACAGCTGCCAAGCCTCATAATTATTTCTTACTATTGAGGGCTTTGTTCCGTTCAATAGGAGGTGGTAGCCATGACCTTTTATATCTGGTAATACATTTTGAAATAGAAAATAATGACTGTGTAATAAGGAAACAATATAAACTACCAAAATGGTCTTACAAATGTTATGGACTTCCTTTTTTTTTTATTAGGTTAAGCAGAGTAGTTGATATAACTAATTTTGTTTTTTTAGGAGTTTTTACCTTTGCTGCCCAATCTTCTCGAAGGTCTAAACCGATTGCAAAGCGGTTTGCACAAACAAGAAATGAAAGATTTATTTGTAGAGCTATGCTTAACAGTCCCTGTTAGACTGAGTTCCCTTTTACCTTACTTGCCTATGTTAATGGATCCTCTGGTAAGAATGGTCGCGTTTGATTTTGAAAGCATATTAGTTTATTTTCTGAAATAGGTTTCCGCCTTGAACGGTTCTCACACTTTGATAAGCCAGGGCCTGAGAACCTTGGAGTTATGTGTAGACAACTTACAGCACGATTTCCTGTATGAACACATCCAGCCTGTTCGTGCCGAATTAATGCAAGCTCTATGGCGGACCCTGAGAAATAACGATCAGGTTGCTCAAGTAGCTTTTAAAGTTCTTGGTAAATTCGGAGGGGGCAATCGAAAGATGATGATAGAGCCTCAGAAACTTGAGTATGTATCTTCAGACTTTGATCCGCCTGCAATTTTGGCCAGATTCGATGACTATGAGAAAATAGTCGAATTTCCTGTAGCGAAAGTGATGGAAACGGCGTTTAATGCCCTCAAACAAAGCACCACTGATCCATTTTATCGCAAGCAAGCTTGGGAAGTTATCAATTGCTACTTGACAGCTTCGAGGGATCTTAGTGATAGTAAACACACTTTAATTAATTTGTTTTTGCATCCGAGCTTCCAAGATCCAGATACTATTAGAGATATTAAAGGGTCGAACTATTTGTCTATTCATAAGTTGGCTAGGGATACACATCAGATGGCGCTTACTGGTAAGAATATTGAATTAATAATTAACTAAGACATTCATCAATCTGTTATCTAGGTATGATTATTGGTGCCGCCATCAAAGAACTACGGGAACCAGCTACGAAAATTTTCGTTTTACTGGTGCGTCACTACACAATGGTGGCGGTAGCTCAACAGTGCGGGGCTTTCGCTTACACGCCCGAACCGAACAAACAAATCGACTTGGACCCGTTGGTTTTAGTGGACGCTTTGGCCGTAATTATGGGACACGAGGAACGGGAATTGTGCAAGCCTGGGCGGGTTGGCTTGGTAAGTTTGTCAAATGAAATCCAAATCGGTTTAGGGCGCCTCAATCTAGATGTAGCCCTAATGTCCCTAATTTTGGTCTTCAAAGTATAAAAGTTAGGCAATGTATACTTCCTGGCGGTTTTCTTAATTTCTCTTTTCAAAAATGTTATTTTATACTGCTATTCAAATACTTGTAGAAACTTCATAAGCTAGGCAATTTAAACCACGTGACATTCAAAATGGCGTGACGGCTACACATGGGCCAAAAAACACAAAAAAATATCCAGTTTCTGCCCGAGTTAATAATTTAGGTACCTAGTCAACAAATATTTTATTAAATAATCAAAATCAAAGTTGCCAGCAAAGCTCTAAGCAAAATAATTTAAAATATGCATAAAAACATATTCAAAACAAACTTGCTTGGCCGCCACGCCATATTGAATTTTCCATTTTGACAGATGGATTAAATTGCCTAATTCACTGAATTTTAGTCGCTAGTCTTAATAATACCAGGAGTGGGAATTGTTATAACAAAAGAACTACTGAAATCTGTCGTGGACTTTGTTCCATACTCGGACCGCACTGCTTTATTGAAACTCAGAGCCAATCCAAGTGATCTTAATATAATTCAGGTATACGCACCAACTGCGGATTCGTCGGACCGAAGTCAAGAATTTGCTAAAATTGACTAAAAAACTTGACGTCAACATAATTATGGGCGACTTCAATGCCAGTTGAGGAAGGGTGAATTTGAGGAGTTAGTTGCATCGTATGGTCTTGGGGAAAGAAATAAGAGGGGTGATCGACTCTTACAATTCTACCAGGAGGAAAGCATGAAAGTGACAAATACATGGTATCAACTTCACCCTCACCGACTCTATACCTGGAAGCGGACCGTCCACACAATGTGGTGCGAAACCAAACAGATTTCATCCTGATCAACCAAACATTCAGCTCAACATCTTTATAGATAACGTCCTTAGTGTTTGAGATAGAGTAAAGATATTCAGGACTTTGGAAATAAAACTCCCTTTTTTCAAAAAATTATGCCGACGTTTCAACCATATATTTCTTCACAGGCTACAAACAAAAAATGATCTTAAAATGTTTGGCAAGACACGAACGAGAAAAATTCTAAACCGAATAACACATTTTTTCCCGATATACATGGCGTAATAAATGTGAATAAAATAGTACAAAATTAGTAAAAAACGTAATAAAAAAATTGTAAAAAAAACACATACAAAAAAAAAAAAAAAAAAACTGGGCAGTAATTATTAATTAATCAATCTGAACGGAATTACATACCTATTTTTTACCAGCAAGGGCGTTTGACGTCAAATACCTAGTCTAAATTCTTTTTTAATTTTTCCTCTGTATATCGATAAACACGTATAGGTTACAGTAAGTTGGCAAACACAGCCGCGACTAAATACAGTATCTTGGTGTATCGTCCACCTATGCATAGGAATGTCTCGGCCTTTTTTTTTCCCCTTAAATATTAGAATTTAGACTAGAAAAAAATGAACCTCCCACTCTGAGGCTCAAATTTCATGAAATCTTGATTGGTGCAAACCGCATTTTCATATCTTCAACCGTTTAGCCGCTAGAGGGTGATTCTCGATTTTGAGCAATACTGTAAAGCCTCCATAACTTTTTTGTTTATGAAAATAATTCATTTCCGTACAGACCTTTTGGAAGCAGTTTTCCAAGCAGAATTCAGCGACGTTCTCAGTTTTTTTCTGTCTGGCTTCGATTTCGAGATATTGATCAAAATCCGATTTTTTTTCAATAGGACACCCTATATATTAATAGTTCATTAGAAAGCTATGCTTTCGCTGATTTCAATGATATAAAGTTCGATAGGTTTATCTCTAATAGTTTTCGAGAAAAAAATGTATTTTGGCTTTTGTCATAAGAAACAATGTGTTGGAAAAAGACTTTATCTCTGTCAGGAAACTGAGAAAGGTCTCTTTCTAACACATTGTTTCTTATGACAAAAACCGCTTTCTAATGAGGTATTAATATATAGGGTGTCCTATTGAAGAAAATCGGATAATGGTCAATATTTCGAAATCGAAGTCAAACAGAAAAAAAAACTGAGAACGTCACTGAATTCTGCTTGAAAAAGTGCCTTTAAAAGGTCTTCACGGAAAGGAATTATTTTCATAAAGAAAAAAGTTAGGAAGGTTTCACAATGACTCAAAATCGAGAATCGCCCTCTAGCGGCTAAATGGTTGAAGATATCAAAATGCAGTTTGCACGAATCAAGATTTCATGAAATTTAAGCCTCAGAGTGGGGGGTCCATTTTTTTCCGTCTTTAAAAATAAAGGGTGTTTCCATAAGAAAGTGTCCAATTTGGACCACCCTGTTACTGGTGGTGGCCGTCTTGAAAATCTCTCTGTCAAGTCAAAAAAAGCCGATCACACACAACTGTAAACTGTGACACAACGACGGGTGGCGTTAGAAAAATTGAGAGGAATAAAATCTGAGATGTGTAATGAGATAAACACACAAATACAAACAATAACATCGAATATTGTAGAAGTAGTGCTAGACAAATAGCATCAAAGGTGGATTTTTTTTTAAAATTTACAATCATACATGTAATGTTGACTTTACTGAATTTTAAAAAGGTCGGAAATGTCACTTTTTTGACTTTTACTTTCGATCCGTGGGCCGAAATTCGAATGATTGTAAATAATAGTATATTACATACCGAGGTGGAAAGTGAAATCTCGAGACAGTAATGAAACTTTTCACCGAGGTATGTATACTATTTTATTTACAATCATTCGAATTTTGAAATTTTCATTTGGATTAAAACTAAAAAATACAATAATTAATAATTTCATTTACTTTCGGCCCACGGGTCGAAAGTAAACTTTCGACCCGTGGGGCGAAAGTAAAAGTCAAAAAAGTGACATTTTCGAACTTTTTAAAAGTCAGTAAAGTCAACATTACATGTATGATTGTAAATCAAATAGTATACATTTTATCTCAAAAACTCTTGAAATCACTTTTAAAAAAAAAAACACTAATTTATTTTAAAATACAGGTTACAATAAAAATGGACATTAACTCAACTATACTTAATAATGACGAATAATGACAATGACGCCTAAACTAAAGAGACGAGATCTTTTATATCTTAAAACGTGTTGATCTTGCTGTTTCTATGGGATCGTTGCGACGATGGACTAGGGTTCTTGGCGTAACATGTTCACACAGGATAACTTGCTGAAGTAGCGTCTATACTTTGCGATACTTTGTACCACCTTGGTGATGAAACGCGTCTTGAGGTCAATGTAGTCGTAAAATCCATAAAACAGCTCCCCCATTAGGTAAAAAGTTGGTGCTTTGCAAAAATTTTTTCAAAAACCAACTGGGTTGTTGTTTAGACTGGTCATCTCTTGTTCTGAGGGTAGATTTGGATGAACAGTGTTTCTTCGTTTCGGTAAAAGCTTTCTAAGGTTGTTGCCTATTTGAAGACGTGAAAGAGACTTCAGCGGTTATGGTTCGTCTTCGTCGATAGGGCTAGGTTTGGAAGGTGCCTTTCGCCGACACTTACAACAAATGTAAATGATTACAAGAGCTGCTATTAGTACGATGATGAAGGAGGTGAACCATTGGCTGTGTCTTGATACGAATGGTTCTTGGATTAGTTTATCCAGTTCATCGGAAAATTGGTTTAGTCTATGCTGTGCCACGTTTAGGTCATCGATGTTGATTTTAGATAGTTTGAGAGGTTTCAAATCTGGCACATGAAGATCCACCGGCAGGTGTTTGCAGCAGTCATAGGGAATTTCCACTGGATGGCTTTTATAGGTGACGTTTCTGTATTTTTCTGCTAGATTCCTAGCATAAATTCTGAAGTTTCCTACAAAGGCATTGCAGGTTGGTTGGAGCTTGAGCACTGTGTTGGTATTGATTGTTTCTGTCACACTCTTTTTGCCATCATATCTGATAGTGATTGGAAGGGACGATGATAATGTTATGAGCCAGTAGTTTGTCTAGTTCTTGCACATTGTAGTCACTAGCGAGTAAGATTGAGGTTTGACAAGTCTTGGGAAGTGTCCCTGTTGACTTCAGGAGTTAAGCTTCGCAAATGGCATCACTGTCTATAGGGTATTGTAGAAGGTCAGAACATATCCTGGTGTTATTATCAAGAGGTTTGCAGTGATCCAGGCTTTGGAGTAATATGTGCAATAAAGAATCGTCGTCTCTCGCAATATATTTTTCAGTTATTGGTCAAATATGATGAAAACCTGTTCGCTTATGCAAAATTGGGATAGGGTAGATGTGATAAAGAGTGTATATCTCAGGTTCGATCAGCGGTATTCTAAGAATAAACACAATTTTACCTTCTGATTGATAAGCATCTGAATCAATTATATCCAGATATCGTGCTACATATGGAAGATATGTAGGTAAAGGAAGGTTATTTTTGGACAAAGAGCACGATATTTCCTGTAAAGCGGCGACCAAGTCTCTAGGAGTTATAATTGAGGTATGTAAGATCTTTAAACGTGTGACCGTTATTGCTTCTAGAATGTCATCAAGGGAATTTTCTAGAAAGACGTAGCTTTCCATTAATGATTCACAGAGGTTTAGAGTTCTGGTTTGGGCTTCGTAAAACTTTAAATCGTTCGAAATGTCAGATATGAATTCTTTGATTCCTGCTATATCGATGTTGAATGTTTCTTCATCGATTTGGAGTTCTTGAATAGTAGAATTAAATTTTTTTATTACTGAGCTGGTTACAGAAATTTGGTTTTTAAGTAAACTCTCAAGTTCTCGTTCGTCTGTTTTAATTTTGTCAATACATTTATTGAAGTATTCACCATGGATAGAGTCTAAGTTTCCGGTGATTGATTCAAAGATACTTCCTATTCCGTTAATTAGTCCACGTTTGTTTCTATAGTTTGTGTCGCCAGTGATTTCATTAAGTTTCTGTTCGACTGAATCAGCAACTTGAGTTGTGTTAAAAGGCTGAAATGAGTTTGAACTTCAACTTTGA